TGCACAGTGGACCCCTCAGGTGACCACTCCACTCACGTTCCTCTAATGCGGGCACCAGGCAGTCAGCAGCCGGCAAGAGTGAGGAAGATCACAGGTCCGTGTTGGGGCCTGAGCCTGTGACCTTGGCTTCATTACAGAGCAATATTATACCTAAACCCAAGTCTTTTAACTCCGTACAGACAACAAAGCCCACATCTATTTCATTATACTCTCCCATAACTCATTGTCAGATTCTTAAAATATGACTTTATTGAAACCTCTATGAATTTTATGATTTAAAATGAATATTTCCTGTTCTTAAGAGAATCTATAGCTATACATATAAAGACTAAATCATTTACTCACTCAGTAAATAAAGTATGAAGCATAGCAGTGAGTCAAGATTCTACCTAGGTGAGGCGTCCTAATAAAATGTCTATAATCCGATTTCCTATAGTCTGAGGAAAAATAGGATAAAATGTTTTTCTTGTTTTCCTTAAGTGCAGAGTAGTAGGCTTTGTTAAAATTGAAACTTATTTTCAAATTTGTTTTCAAATGTTGTACAATCAACTCAATTATTTCAGTTATCTGTGTGTGTATTGTCCACTTGCTGAGAGCATATATAGAGATCTACAAACTAGATTTAATGAAAGCTTGAAACTTTTAACTTGTAAATATTAGCGTATCTATATACACAGAGATGCTCACTGTCCATCTCAAACACAGACAATGCGTGAGTGATTTTTAGGTGATTTACTGCTTTTGAGCTCACTTCAGAATGGATTCTATATAAACCCAGCACACGTTACAAATTAATCACATTCCTCCAGGTTAGTTCTATGTAGGAAATGCTATCATATTGATAAGTAAAATATCCCTTGGGAGTAACATAAATAACATCAAGGGAAGAAGGTTTATTCCTTTTCACCAGCTGGAGTCCATTCATCAATTACCTTCCCACTACTGTGTGCATTTACGCTGAAATAGACAGAGATCTTGTGTTCTACTCAGGCACAACTTGTCACAACTCCCACTATTGCACTCTCGACTTTGTGCCAGTAAGTGGTTAAAAGGAATCTGTGGAAATGTGATTCATTCCTTGAAGGCAGCTCGGTAAGGATCTTTGCTGGTGACATATGAAATTACAAGTCTGTTATTTCCTGAGGCTGTTACGTTTTCTACAAATACTAGCACGTTATTGTTTCTAGGTCAAGTGTTTTTCTTATAAATTTTATGATGTTAATTTTAAAAGTAATGCCTTCAGTAGGCATATTTCAGGTGTTGTGTGTACTTTTTTCTTTATGGTTGACATTTTTTTTTTACTTTTTAAATGGTTTAATTTACACATAATAATTGTGCATATTTATGAGGTCTATAGTGAGATTATGACGTATATAATGTGCAGTGATCAGGTCTGGACAAATTAGTATATCCATCACCTCGAACACTTAATTGTTTCTCACTCTTAGGAGCGTGTAACATCCTCCTGTATTTGAAACTATAAAATCCATTATGGGTAACTATCATCACCCTACGGGACCATGGAGCACTGGAACTTGCTCACCAGAAATCGCCAGGCATTAGGTTAAAATACTTGTCTTCCTAAAGAAAAGGAATTATATGCTTAAATGCTCTGCAGTTTGCCATATGTAGAATAAATACAATAAGGACACTATTTTGTAATTTCCTTAGCTAACCAATGGAAAGGGGAGCATAGCTAGACATATCCCACCCATATTCGGGACCCCTGTGAATGCCGTCAGCAGGAATTTCTCCAGTGTCACTGGACTAGTCCATAGAGTAACTTCTCCTCAGTAAGACCTGTTGTTGTAACTAAATTGCTCAACTAAATTAAATAAATAGCACCTATTTTTAAAAATGAGAAAATAGCCAGTTAAGAGCAACTTATTTAAAATTTATGTACATAGGTAAAACCATCCTGAATCACTAGGTGACTAATTCTTCTTGCCATGGATAATTTTAGTAGAATTTTTTAATTAACTACACTTACTAGAGTTAAATTCCATTAATTTATTCTACAATTATGTAGAATAATTATGGAATATATTGATATATTCGTTGTTATATATATTTATATGTAAATAGACTGTTTATATATATTTAATTCAATATATACTGTTGTATATATTTATATATATATGGCAATTTATTCTACAGTTATGTAGAATTGTAGAAAAATTGTCAGTATACTGACCATTGGCAAGACCTTATTCTAAACTTAGGGCATACAGATACAAAAGCAGAGAGTAAGTGCAAAAGGCCTGTTGTGAGGTCTGAAGGACCTGGAGCACTGTACGTTCCATGAAATCAATGCATTTAACCAACAGAGATTCCTACAGAGCCTCTCACTGAGGAGAAATTGCTCAGAATAGAAAATGGGAGAAGGAAGGAGAAATTCCAATTAAAACTGGGACTACAGAGTTGGGAGATTGCAGAAAGTAAACCCCAGAATAGACAAAATCTACAACCGTGAAAACTCACTCTGTGAGTGCTCATCGTTCCAGCATCACGTTCCTACAGTTGGGATGACGCAGAGAAGGTCAGCGTGGCCCCTGCACAGGATGACACGCAAGTCGGTGAAGCGTTACATATTTTAAAAAATCATTCTGTGGTTTCAATTAGACATCCTGTTGGCTCTTTCATTAAAGATAAGTAAACACAAACCATGGAGAAGCCAGGCCACCAGCACAGCCTCCCAGATCCTCCTCGGCACCCTGGGTGGTTCTCTCGGGAGATTCATGTGTGAATTCTCGCAAATCTGCAATAATCGCTGACATGAAATCTCTCAGCTGTGTGAACAGCTCTTCATTCATCATTTCATGATATACCTTCAGTTCATCCCCTGACAGTTGCACCACTTACGGCATTTTCCAGAGAGCCTTGTAGCACAGATTCATAGGATCTCATCTGCCTGCTGTCTGCAACCTCAGACCCTTTCCTCATGAAGGCCTCTCTGTGTGCCTGCCATGTTCAGATTCGCAAGATTTGACCAGGTTCTCTTTCTCTTTCCTGGAGCCAGAAAAATGAGAAAATGGGTGGAAGGTCAGGCGTTAATTACTCCAACTTCGTATTGACTACTCATACCTTTCTTCTAAAGTCTGTGCCAGCCCACACATGCCATGGGCTACTGGACATGGTGACTTTGCTGGGTGACAGGCTATCAAGGTGAACACGAGACCAGGGAAGAAATGATTACTTCCCTCCACTCCCTGCACACACACACACACACCCGCACATACACACACATACACACACCTCTTTCTCCTTCCACAGTCTCCCCCCAGATCCCCCCTTCTCTGTCTTCTCAGGGAAATGTGGGACACTCATACCCAACTTCTCCTCCCTCCTGCGACACGTCATGCGTCCCCTCTGCCACAGAGGCTGCAGTTTCTGCCTTAGCAGTGTGCCCAGAATTCTAACCCCTGATCCCCAGCATGACCTCCTGGCTCCAGCCTCCAGCCTCCACCATCTCTCTCAGAAGTGTTGGAATAAGCTCCCACCTGCTTCTTTGCTTCCATCCTGACCATCCAGGCTACACTCCAAACATATCAGCCAATGTCTTTAAAATATTCATCAGTTGTGTCATGTCCCAGTTCAAGGGTCTGCAAGGGCTCCAGCATGGTTGAGAAAAACAGCCCGAGTCCTCACAGTGGCTCTCCGGGACGTCCCTGAGCTCTCTGACTGGCCTTCCCCTGTTTGCCCCTTGTTCACCCTGCCTCTCCCTGCTGGCCTCCCTGCTGGACCTTGAACAAGCCAAGCACATAATGGCCTTGGTCCTTTGTCACACCTGTCTGGAATGCTGGTCCCCCAGGGCGCCACGCAGAGGCTTGCTTTGCTCATCTTCAGATGTTTTCTTAAATGCACCTGTTGTGAGACATCCTCTACTCACCACTTTAAAATTGAACCCCACATTCCCTGGAACCCGGCTTCTCTGTTTAATCTCCTCCTCACCCGCTGCCATTTGAAACACTCCGGATATTTGCTGTCACATGCTGTGACAAGGGCCGAGACACATGCTCCCTTCCTGCTGTGTCCTCACACCCACGGTAGTGCCGGCACATAGTAGGTCTCAGGACAGGCTGCATACATTAACTGGTAACTGAGCAAATCCATTGGCTTTGATCTGAGCTTGAGGATAATATGATCCCATAAGGCACAGAGGACAATCACGCAGGGCTGTAAGGAAGAAGAGCCTGGAAATGGTCCCGGGGAGTCTGGGTTTGGTGCTGCAGCTGGAGAAATGGTTAAAGGAGATGGAGGGAGACAGCAGCACAAAGGGCTGAAGTCGGGGACGGAGAACAGTGATGAAAGGCCAGGTGGCTCTGGCGTGAGCTCTGCTGCGTCCAGCTGACACCTCACTGACACCAGCAGTTTTCAGGAGGCAGAATATTGGACCCATATTCACAATGATCACAAAACCTCGCACAGTCTCAACTAGAGAGAGGCTTGAAAATACACTGCTTTCTAAGATTGACAGTATATGCGTCCACCATTTAATATAGAAACATACTCCTTAAATTTTATATGCAATAAGATTGTTCAAATACAATCAGTAGAAGCAGTGTCATAAAATGGCAGACTTTGGAAAGTCGATTTTCTGGAAACAAAATGCAAAGAGTAAACACCACGCTCATCCATCTTGCCAGTTTGAATTTGGAAGATTCTTTCCACATACACTTCAGCCACACTGGGGCCTCCTCCGTGGTTCTCTGCATACACACACGGACACACACGCACACAGCCACACACACGCAGGCTCACACACAGACACAGGCATACACACAGACACAGGCATACACAGGCACACACACACACAGGCTCACACACATACACAGGCACATGTGCACATACACCCAAATACACACAGACACACACGAAAGTAACGCACACACACATACATACACACGTTGTCCCTGACACTGGCTAAAGCAGCAATCCCACACGCCAGCTGTTAACCTCGGCTGAAGCCATGCATCAGGGTCTGTGTGTGATCATGCTGAAAGCTCCCCTTGCTCTCACCCTTTGCAGTACAGCCGCTACCAGCAGTACGGCGCCGAGGAGTGTGTGCTGCAGATGGGGGGCGTGCTGTGCCCCCGCCCTGGCTGCGGAGCGGGGCTGCTGCCCGAGCCAGGCCAGAGGAGAGTCGCCTGTGAGAGGGACAGCGGCCTGGGCTGTGGGGTGAGTGCTACCTGCACCCAGAAGGGGTGTTCGCTGGGGTGTTTTGTTTGCATCTGAAAGTGGGCTGGGGTAGACTTTTATTTCATTTTCATTTTCCCTTTCAACTTTGACCTCTTTGAATGTGATCTGTAAGAAAACAGATTGCAAATTCTTATATAGGACTCCAGTTTAAAAAAAAAATGTTTATTCTTGGGGAAAGAGTCATATTAAGATTTTCTGCTTCGGTTGCCTATGAGGCATTTACTCTAGTAGGCCAGACTTTCCAGCCGTTCTTCCCGTGCTCGGCTAAGTCAGAGAAAACAATTATTCCTTCTTTGGAGTAGGCTCCAGGTGGACAGGAGTGAAGGCGAGAGAGAATTTTCCACCAGCGAGGTCTTAGTGACATTGTTTGCCTAAGTATTTCAAGAAATAAAATGAAGACTAACATAGAAAACCTGAAATGTTATTATGTCATAAAAATCATTTTACACAGAGATGAACAAAACTCATAGTGCCTCTTAGGGACGCAGAAAGAGAAACATGGAAGGTGTTGGTTCTGAGAGGTCAAACCGTGTGAGCTAGACGGCCTCTTGAATGAATCTATGGCTGCAAGCTGACGGTAAGGGGGAAGGAAGCATAACTCAAACACAAAAGGCTTCCTGAACTATAGGTTCAAATGACAAACGGATAATAATCCTGATGTTAAATTTCACGCAGGCTGGAAAAGAGAGAAAGTGTATGTGCTTATAAAAGGCCGTTGAATTTTGATGGGAAACATTTCTTTTAAAATTGCAATTTCACAAGGAGCTTTGTGGGAGAAGGGGTGCTGATAGCAGAGGCGGATTGCCCAGGCCTGGCACTGTGAGTCACCTGCGCAGACGTTGTCATCTGTTGTCAGGCAGGCTTCCTATCTCTCCTGTGCTGGGGCTCGCAAAACCCTGAGGAGGGCAAAGGAGCAGGGAACGTGGACCCTGGAAAATTATGAGATAGTGTCACATCTGAATGGACAGAAGCACCTCTGGCTTGATCATCGTAACCATGTTAGAATGAAAGCTCAAGGAGCGTCTGCTATCCTTAGATATTACGGAGCTCAAACCGTGCTTCTCTGCCTTACTCGGCCCCGTGTGCTGTATATCTGTGCTGATTGTACGTAGCCTGAGCAGGCTGCCAGTTCCGGAAACAGTGCTAGCAAATGTCTTCTTTCAAAATGAGTTTTTAAGTTTCATGTCTGAATTGTGCGCTTCTGCCTCCTAATTGTCTATGGTTGTTCCCTACTCTAAAGCTGGATTTTAGGATTTTACCTTTTGTTGAGAGGTAGAGAATGCCTTCAGCCAATATTTTCATTCAGTTGTTCACTTTGCTTTCAGGAGGTTTCGTGCAACTTTAGGTTTTAAAGACTTTTACCCTCCCTTTTTTTACATAAGTAAATTGTAAGTAAAGAACATACATATTTAAACTCCAAATCATGGGACATTCCTTTAGAAGTGAATTGAAATGCTTTGACGTCTTTGGGTTAAGAGAGTGTGGGGAGAACTTTGCCTATAGGAGAGCAGCTGTGTCCGGGATGTGTCTTTGTCCTTCGGCAATTCTAGGTAATGAGTTTTTATTTTGTTTTGATTTGTCCTGTTTTGTTGCTTTTGGAGGTGTGTTTATTGGTTTGTGTATTATAAATAACCCCAAATTTTAACAGTTTAACACAATAAGTATGATCTCACTGAGTTTCCAAGGGTCAGAAATGATGTGTCAGAGGTGTGGCTGGGTAGTTCTGGCTCAGGACCCTTATGAGGTTGCTGTTGGCCTGGGTGACAGTTAATGAAAGCTTAACTGGGGCTGAGAGATTCACTTCCAAAATGGCTCCTTCACATCACTGTTGGCAAAAAGGACCTCAGTTCTCCACTGAATCTTGTTCTTCACCACGTGGCCTCTGCTTGGGCCATTTGTCCCTACGATGGTTGCTAACTTCCCCCAGAGCAAGTGCCCCTGAAGAGAGAGCCAAGCCTTGCAGGGCTGCCCCAGAGCTGCCCGCTGTCCCCCACTTTGTTCTGCAAATGAGGTCCTAGATCCAGCTCACCCTGCACAGGGAGGGAACTTGGTTTCATCTAAAGGAAAGAGTATCAAAGAATTTAGAGACAGATTTACTTAAAACACCACAGTTTGCAATGTGAAGAAACTGGAAAAAGAATCGCTGAGAGAGATGATTTTCTAAGGGACACGTTTATCTCTGCTTTCCGTTCCCTCCCTATCATCTTCCAATCCAGGCTGCCACTCTCTTGCAAGCTCACTTCAATTCCTGCTGCTTTGGCTTCTAAGCAGTGATAAATAGCCCACAGCATTGCCCTTTTAGTTAAAAATCCCAAGCTTTCACAAAAGGATGTTAACTTCAGTGCTAAAGGAATTCGGTAATGACTTAAAGCAGGTTAGATTGGATGACTTGAGTTCAAATCCTGACTCCACAAACTAGTAATGTGGCCTTAGTTTTTCTCAGTTTATTCATCTCCACCATAAAGTATATGACAGTAACCCTGGGTAAGGTCATTGTGAGTACTCGTTGAAATTAGAAGCATAGAAATGTAGCTCAAGATTTTCTAGCAGTCAGCCTTCAGAGGAAACCCCTATCAGCTGGTCAATTAACAATATCCTTGGAAGCTCATTTGAGGCTTTAGGTTTTTCCTTCTTTCTCTTCCCTTTCTCCTCACTTGTGCTATTTTGCTGTGTTTTGTATCTTCGTAAGCTGCCAGTCTTCTCTGGACTTGAAGGTGGTAATCGATAGCGTGAAAGAAATCGTGGTTAGATTGTGTTGCTTCCGAGGCAGAACTTGGCCCAATGCACAGAATACGATGAATCTCTTCTCACTCTTTGCTCTAACACTGTGGACAGCCGTGAGCAAAGTCGGAGTGCTGAGCACTTGTCCTGTGAGTGTTCACAGAGAACTCGTAGGTAGCAAAGACACTGAAGAACTGAAGAGTCTAGATGTGGAATTTGCCCCCCTACACACTACACGGTGCTCAGGGTGTGTTTGACAGGTTTATTGTAAGATACCTGTGAATCCCCCTGTGCTTAATTTTTTCTCAACTAGGCAAAGATACAAAAAATACAACTCTTATTATATGGATAGGCAAGAAATGTCTGCTACATATGATCTCCTATATAAAAAGGTTGAAAGCCAAATTAACCATCATTCATGGGATTTAAAAACTAAATCTTAGGATACTTTGTGAGATGCCCATTGTCACACACTTGCAGAGCCGGACTCCTGTGTGTGGAGCTGCAGGCTGTGATGGTTCTCATCTGCCCGTGATTCCGCCACCACTGGGCACCTGCCTGGCCCTCCGGGCATCTGTGGGTGCTCTTAGATACAGCTCCCATCTCAGGAAACAGACTGCTCTGACTTGACTGAGTTAAAATTAGGTGCCACAGGTAGTATTTATAACTCTCTTGTTCAAACATATAGGAATATCCACTGGAAAACCACATTCCCTCGGCAGTGCTGCACTGTGCCTCTAGCTTAGCTGTTAGTGGAGGAGCTCATATGAAGACGAGGGCTTCCAGGTAAAAGATAATGTCGGTCCATCTAGGAAAGGCCTGTAGACTTGTGATGGATAGAGGCAGTTATTACCATTACAAAGAATTATTTAAAAGCATCAAGTTGGAATATTTCACTGACTTCGTATCTTTCTATTCCTGTCCTAAGTCTTTGCATTCTTCTCCTCAATAAATCACGTGCTTGGAGTTCAATAGAATAGAGTGAATGGGTGAACCTTAACAATGTAGAACTAATATGAACAAACTAACATTTTTATTTTCCAATATTAATCATCATTTACCCCAGTATGACAGTTGTGTACCTTGCCCCAATAAAGACCTCTTCAAAAAATATGTAGGCACCTGCACATACTTATCCAACACCCAGTATTTTGACAGCACGCACACAATACACAGTTCAGAACGTCAAAATTATACTGTTTGGAGATCCACAAAAAGTTGATGAGGAACCGGAGAGAACCCCAGACGTTACCAAGTTTATGTTCCCTATCGAGGGCTGCACATGTGGCCAAGTACAGAGTTTTCACATTCTGAAATACTCATAAAGTGTCTTACTCTTGGGAGCACTAAGGTTTTAGTTTTGACTCAGCACAGAATATTTTCACACTGATAGAACTCAACAAAGAATATATCTGGGATCCAATACCAATCTGAACTGACTCCGCTAACCCTGCATCACATTTTTACTACTGCTCATAAAAATATTAATTGATTTCCTGAGGAATTCATGCTATGCAGTATTCTTTCTTCCAGCCTTATTGCTACTCATCAGAACTATTTCACAAACTTTTATGGCTCTGATGCAAAAAGTTGACATGTTTAATGCTGGAAAATAGCAACAAAATATGGACTACATTATATTCACTGAGCTGGGAATGCAGAAAGCAATGACAATCAGCCTGTAAGTCATCTAGAAATAAAACATCTTTATCATATTTGATACTTTCTTGAAATATTACAAGTCTAAGAGATTGTTTTTTGTTTCTTCTTTTTTTTTTTTTTGAGACAGAGCCTCAAGCTGTTTCCCTGGGTAGAGTGCTGTGACATCACAGCTCACAGCAACCTCCAACTCCTAGGCAAGAGATTCTCCTGCCTCCACCTCCCAAGTAGCTAGAAATACAGGCACACACAATACCCAGCTATTTTTTGGTTGCAGCCATTATTGTTGTTTGGCAGCCCCGGGCTGGATTCTAACCCACCAGCTCAGATGTACGTGACTGGCGCCTTAGCCATTTGAGCCACAGGTGCCGAGCCAAGGAGATTGTTTCTTAAAGTAACGCTTGAGGATGAATGAAGAGTTTTCTGTTTTAATTAGAGATCCAAAAGCAAAATTTAACAACTGCAAAAAAAAAAAAAAAAATACATGTGTAAATGAAAGCAGGAGATCTTTCAAAATCATATTACTGCTCTGGGTGTAATATGGCCACACCTGTAATCCCAACACTCTGGGAGACCAAGGCAGGTGGACTGCCTGAGCT